ATGTGAAATAAGCCATACAGAGAAAGACAACTACAATACTACATGATCTCAATTATACGGAATCTAAAAAAGTTGAACTCATAAGGGCAGGGTAGAATGGTGGTTACCAGGGTCTGGGTGTCGGGTAAAATTGGGAGTTTTTACTGCTTAGCTATGCAAATTTCAGTTATTCATGATGAACCCGTTCTGGATATCTAATGTACGACATGTATACCTAATGTACGACATGTATAATAATAAAAGCGTAATATGCAAATCGACTGAACAACCAAACAGCAGAACAACTGTCCAGATGACCACACTATGACATGCACTAGTGCCAGGTCAGCCAAGGCAGGTGTGATGCGATTGGTCAGAGGGGCCTGCCACTGTCTCATGATCGCCCCACAGAGGGGGGCCCACGCCACCTTCTGTGGGGTGATCGATGTGGTGGGGGGGGGGGACTCCACGATAGATTACCCCAAAGGGGGAGACCCAGACCACCAGCTGGCAGGGCGATCAATCAGGGGGTGGCGGGGGGCTCTGTGATCTCCCCAAAGAGGGAGGCCAGGCCACCCTCTGCACGGCAAAACCCCAGCCAAGTGGCAGGGCCTCCCTCTGCTGGGTGATCAATCGCAGATCCCGGTGATTGATTGCCCCACAGAGAGAGTCCCAGGCCACTGGCCAGCGATGCTGTGGCAGGTGTACAGGGCCAGCCAGCAATCACCCTGCAGAGGGAGGCCCAGGCCAGCCAAGCGATCGCACCCCACACCTGTCGCCCACGGAGGGAGGTGACCAGTGGTGGGGGAAGGAGGGGCAGTGCTGCACAAATGGCAAGCAGAGGCAGTGGTGGGGGTGGGGCCAGCTGCTGGCAACTGGGGGGAAGGAAAGCCCCGATAGGCCCTGATCACCGGCCAGGCCTAGGGACCCTACCCAAGGGGTCCTGGATTGCAAGAGGGCGCAGGCCAAGCTGAGGGACACCCCCACCCCCCACCCTGTGCATGAATTTCATGCACTGGGCTTCTAGTAATAGAAGTTAATAATATTGTATTGTGTACTAAAAATGTGCTAAGTTGATTTTAAGTGTTCTCACAATACACAAAATGTTAACTGTGAGGTGATAAATACATAATTAGATTGATTATGATAATCATTATACAATGTATATGTATATTAAAACATCATGTTGTATACCTTCAATATATACAATTTTTATTTGTCAATTATACCTCAACAAAGCTGGGGAAAGGAAAAAGAGGGAAAAAGTGGTCTTTTCACACTTCCACTCCCCACTCATTTTACACCTGTCAGATGAGGGGTGATTGCCCTTCTCTAGCTCAATAAAATTTATTCCTTTTTACTGAAATAAGATGCAACTTGCAAGAACCAGGGGACAGAGTCTGTTCAAAGTGGTTTTCACACTTTTGTCCTCATCACATCCATCCAAGTCTTGGAGAGAGAACTTCCCCACAGCTGCTGCGCTGGGCCTGAGGAAGCTCTCCACACCTGCTGAGCTCTCACCTCCCACCGCTGCTTACTCAGTGACAGAAGATTTTCGAGGTTAGTTTTCACACAGTCTGAAACCAAGCCCTCATAGGGAATGCTAAGTAATGGTCTCTAGCAAGGAAGGACAAAAGAATTCTAATTCCATTATTATTTCCCTCAAGGCACAAGTTATGTTCCCGTGGTGAAATCCAGTTACAACTTCCTCTAGCTTTATTTGGAAATGAAAGATTTTTCCCTTACCCCTTAAAAAAAGCTGTAAGCAACAATGAGGTACCATCTCACACCTGTCAGACTGGCTATCATCAACAAATCAACAAACGACAAGTGCTGGAGAGGATGTGGAGAAAAAGGAACACTTGTGCACTGCTGGTGGGAATGCAGACTGGTGCAGCCACTATGGAAGACAGTATGGAGTTTCCTCAAAAAACTGAAAATGGAACTCTCATTTGACCCTGTGATCCCACTTCTAGGAATATATCCCAAGAAACCAGAAACACCAATCAGAAAGGATATATGCACCTCTATGTTCATAGCAGCACAATTCACCATAGCTAAGATCTGGAAACAGCCTAAGTGCCCATCAGTAGATGAATGGATTAGAAAACTGTGGTACATCTACACGATGGAACTGCTCTAAAAAGGAAGGAACCCTTACCATTTGCAACAGCATGGATGGAACTGGAGAGCATTATGCTAAGTGAAATAAACCAGTCAATGAAGGAAAAATACCACATGATCTCACTCATTCATGGATAATAGAGACCATTATAAACTTTTGAACAATAATAGATACAGAGGCAGAGCTGCCTCAAACAGATTGTCAAACTGCAGCGGGAAGGCCGGGGAGGGTTGGGGGGCAGGAGGTAGGGGGGAAAGAGATCAACCAAAGGACTTGTATGCATGCATATAAGCATAACCAATGGACATAAGACACTGGGGGATAGGGGAGGCTAGGGGACTGTCTAGGGGGGGGGGGGGCGGGAATGGACACATATGTAATACCCTTTGTAATACTTTAAGCAATAAAATAAAAAAAATAAAATAAATAAAATAAAATAAAAAAGCTGTAAGCAATATTCCTGAACAAGGGATCCTGAGTAACGAATTTGTAGACTTAATTTATCCTACCTCAGTGCCACCTAAAAATGATGCAAAATTACAATGGTTAAATATTTATTACTTTAGAATAATGTCAGCTATTCCCACAAAAAAGAAACATCATGATATGGTAGTGCCTGGGCCCTCAGGCATATTTGGGATATTCTTGGGTAATCTTATAATATGACCTGTCACCAGTGGCGTGCCAACCTTTCTGGCACAAGTAGGAGTTAGAGGCTGGGGTAGAAAAGTGGACTTGCCATTAGATCTGGATGGGGCACAGCTCCATGGGCATCATAGGCCTCGGCATGCTTTCTGTGTGTGGGAAGACGTGCTGGATGAAACACAGGTGATCTAGTACTGTAGCCATCTTAATAAATTACTAGACCCAACCACCCTGATATATAACAAAGCCAAAACAAAACAAAGCCCTCAGCCCTAGCCAGTTTTGCCCAGTGGATAGAATGTTGGCCTTTTGACTTAAATAGTTGAGGGTTCAATTTGGTCAAGGGCATGTACCTCAGTTGCGGCTCTGTCCCTGGCCCCTGTCAGGGCACATGCCAGAGGCAACCAATTGAAGTGTCTCTCTCACATTGATGTTTCTCTGTCTCTCTCTTACACTCCCCTCCCACTGCCCCCAGTCCATTCTCTCTAAAAAAAATCAATGGGAAAAAAATATCCTCAGGTGAGGATTAACAAAAACAAAAACCCTCATTTCATTACTAATAATGTTGCATAGTTTTGGTCATCTGTGCGTAAAGTCATCTTCAGAGATTTAACCCATAAATAGTTTTAAATCACTGTAAGTAAGCAGCAATGATGTTGGAGATTTATTTCTCATCGTGAGAAGTATTTGTGGGTTACTTAGTGCAAAATAACAGACGGATAAAATGATGTATCTCTACTAGGCATTTCCAAAGTGCAACACATCGTCACATACTCTAACTGAAGAAATAGACATTTGCCTGAAACTTGCAACACAAATGCCATTTTTCTAAATTTGATAACAGTTTTTATCTTGGTGCATGGGGTGGGAGAATGGGGAGTGGCTTAGAACCTTTACTTTCTATGCTCTATAGTTCTGTAATGTTTCATGTTTTCGTAAGGACCATGTATCACTTTTATAATGAAGCAATTATAGTAAAAATAATTTCATAAATAATAAGTTCAATAAAATTTAAAATATATATATATATATATATATATATATATATATTGTTCTGCATCAGCGATTTTCAACAGGTGCCACAAGAATTTTTAAAACATGCAATACCTGACTATTAAGTCAGGGGCGCTGACCTCTTTTCCCTTAGATTGCCAAATTTTAAAAAATGACAACAGCCAATACAACAATGGCTGTCAAAAAGTATACCTATTTTTTGTAAGATCAGCAAAAAATATATATATATATTGGTGCGCCACAGAATTTTGGTAGTTAGCTATGCATTCCATGAGATGAAAAAGGTTGAAGATAGCTGCTCTACATTACTGATGCTGAACCAACCCTTATTTCAAACAAGACAGAGAATTGTTTTTATAAAGAAACCAATTTTGATCAACTCAGTGCCTGTCCCTATAGGGGAAACAAGGTGGTATGATTAGCTTGCTCCAAAAATGCTTTCTTCTTAAAAATTCCATTGGGTTTCTCATTCTATGACCCACTGCTTAATGAGCCAATTTAGTTGGCCTTTCCCCAAGGTTCACTCACAACTCTTCCTAAATAATCTCAAAGTCCTTTTGCTGGAGCAGGTGTTATTTTCCAAGCAGCTCTCACCAAAGGCCAATATGATCATTAATAACCTTCAGATTCGAAGACTTTAGGCCCTAAAGTTTAGGGTCTCATGTCTGACAAAGCGTGCACATGCACAGTAATGTTTCTGAAACTTGCTGTTTTATGAGGAGATTTAGACATCATAATAAAAGAACTCAGCAAAGTTTTAAATAGTCAGTTCCTTTTCTCTGCTAGTAAGAACAACCCTTGAGGGCTTAGAGATAGTCACTTCTTGCAGCCAAATGGTCTGTTTTCTGTGAAACTGTGAAGTTGTGTTTTCAGGGTCCTCTCTTTCATTTCAGATCCTTCACATGTTACCAGGTAGCTGAAGTCAGCTACACTGGTAAGTCAGCTATACAAGGCAGATTGGTAATTCAACCTGCAAATTTAGTATTGAAACTGACTCTTAAATCTGCAGTGTTCAAGACTTGGAAAGGAATGGCATTCCATAATAGCAAATGCAGACAATATGAGTTCTCAATGTTCTCCAGGTTTACTTTGGTTTGGAGAAGAGATGTTCTTCAATTGTCTAAATTTAACAAATAGACGTTTTAGATGAAGTGCCTAAATGTTCAGAAATACGCTCCGAGCTTCTTGCTCTGGTTTGCTCCACAATACCTCTAACATGTCTGCTTTGATATTTTAGGAATTTGTGATGATTGTCGTCTTTGGTTTGGAGTTCATCATTCGAATCTGGTCTGCAGGTTGCTGTTGTCGGTACAGAGGATGGCAAGGAAGACTGAGGTTTGCCCGAAAGCCCTTCTGTGTTATAGGTAAATATCAAAGTCCAGATACCTGGACTTCTGCATCCTTTTCTTCTGCCTACTGCATTGCAACATTTGATTTATATTAAAATTAATATTTGTGGAGTATTTATCATGTCAGGCACGCTTGTGTTTTTCAAAGTGTTGACTCATTTAATCCTCACCACAACACTGTGTGGTAGGTATTTTTATTATTCCCATTTTACAGATGAAGAAACTGAGGCAAAGAAAAGTGAAATAAATTACAAAAAGTCATATCAGTAGTAAGTGGTGGAGCTGGGATTTGAGCCAGAAGGTCTGGCTCTAGAACACCCACCTGTATCAATTACGTTACACTGAACTATATGGTTCTCAGTGTTGACCTGAATTAGGGAAGCATTAATTTCAGAAAATATAAATAAGACCCTTTTCTCCCTTATAAGCAATGTCCCTTTTTGCTTCTAATTAACTGGAATGGATAGAAGTGTATTAGACTTGGTAATGCATGTCAATTAGTGTTCCTCAAGTTTGTTTTACTTTATGCACTGGTAACTTCAGACAGGATTAAGTGTTTTATACTCTGAAATATGAGTCACCCTCCCTGCAGTCCCTAAGTAAGAATCACATCTCTGCATCCCCCTAGATGCTGTGGTTTTCAGAGGGATTCCATTCACCTAGGTACCAATTTCAAATTATACTTATTAATGAAGATGTCATATAGCATTCTAGGGTTAAGATCTGGGATCTTCCAGTAATATATTTAAAAGTATATCATAAAATTGGAAACTCTCAAAAAATAATTTTAAAAAAGAGTAAATTGCCTACATCCAAGTCCTTTTTCCCTAAATATTGCAATGTAGATTTCATAAGGATAAAGATATTCCTTTATATAACCTTCAGTAAATTTAACATTGATGCAACACTTTATCTAATCTCCTGGTTGTATTCCAGTTTTGTCAGCTGATCCAATAATGTCCTCTACAGCATTTTTTCCTCCTCAATACATGATCCAGTCTGCATTTAGATCACATACTGCATTTAGTTGCCATGTCTCTTTAGTCACCTCTAATCTAGAACAATTCCTCAGACCTTCTTTGCTGCATGACATTGACATTTTAGAAGAACATAGCTTCAGCCCCACCCCCTTTTTAAAAAATAGAATGTTCTTCCTTTTGAGCAGAAAAACCCTACATATATAAGCTATATTGTTATGGTTGTTGTTGTTACTTAACAGCTAAATCTGGTTTTCTTGCTCTTTTTGCCTTCTCACTTCTTTGGCAGCCATTCAAATCCAAATAGTGAAAGTTCTTGGGGAGGCTTACTTATTATTTCAACCATTTCCACTCTCAGAAAGTGGATTTTTAATCTACAAAGTGATTTAGACTATCTCCTTCATCCACGACGGGTTTTCATTTTGTTTTAGAAGTCGGGAATTGTTGAGCAATCTTCTTAGTCTCCTCCTTTACCCCTGTTCCCTGAGGCAGGGGCAGAGTGAATGTAAGGACGCACTGGAGCAGGTCTCCCCATCCATGGGCCCTGTTAGGAACAATCTTTCATTCCACCCTTGTTGCGAAGGAAGAGCACTGTCGTGGCAAAGGAAGAATGGGTGGGCTCCCCACACTCTCTGCCACTGAGGCCCTTTCATAGTATACACACTTCAAAAGAGTCACCATTTATTCAGTCAAACTTTATAGAAATTTGGCGGTGTGTGAAGCACTGCAGTGACAATAGTGAAATTCTAAATTAACACAGTCTTAAAATGTCCTGTTTGGCCTCTGCTAATGAATTTTTATTTGTCCAACTGCCTCTCTTCTGCAAGAGTGGGCTTTTCTCCTCTTTGGAAACCATTGCTCAGGTAGAGAAAAAAATAGGTAGGAACTCCCAGCCTTGCAGGCCCGTCCAGCCCCAAAACATATTAGTGAAGGCTTTTGATTTTTCTCCCTGGAGATTTTTTTCTCTTTTGGAATTCTCTGCTCAAGCAACATCACAGAAGACTGTAACTTGATGTGAAACTACTGCATGAGTACTTTCTGTCCTTTAAAGGACCAAACAAAACAATTTACAAGGCAAATGGTTAGCCAAGACTCACTCAGCTTCTACAGGATAAGATTGGTTCATGGAAGGCTGCAGGAATGTTCCACTCCAGACTTTAAAACCAATTACAAATTGGTTTTGTTCCAGTTCCAGAGGCAATGCCAATGTATTTCCGGCCCGCAAGCTGAAAAGAAAGTTCTTTCCCAGATGCCTGCTGCCTTTTGATAGCTGTTTTCAACTCTGGATGCATCAGCCCCTCTTAGTGCTTTAATTGTTCTCTCCCAGTATCAGATCCTTGAGGTTTGGATGTGGCACATGGTTCTAAAAATGATGTTATGTTATATGTAATTTTAGACACCTTTGACCTTGTAAATAGTGACCATAAAAATTTAGTATAACATGGCTTAGGCATAGTTTCAAGTTTAGTTAACTCTTTAAGCCTTTTCTTCATTTGGGTATTTTTTTTTCTTTGTTCATAGGAAGTACTTTATAAATACTTGTAATAATAACAAAAGTGTCATGAAAATCAGAGTAGAAGAACCTATAACATGAGTCAGCTCTTTAAGAAATGTTAAGATGTCCTTCCAGTTTTCTTAATTTTTTTTAATTAAATCTATATTGTTCAGATTATTACATTTGTTCCTCTTTTTCCCCCCATAGCTCCCCACCTCCCAGTTCCCGCCCCACCCTCCGCCCTCACTCCCCACCCACTGTCCTCATCCATAGGTGCACAATTTTTGTCCAGTCTCTTCCCGCATCTCCCACACCCATTTCCCCCCCAAGAATAGTCAGTCCATTCCCTTTCTATGTCCCTGATTCTATTATAACCACCAGTTCATTCTGTATATCAGATTATTTATTCACTTGATTCGTAGATTCACTTGTTGATAGATGCATATTTGTTGTTCATAGTATGTATCTTTACCATTTTCTTCTTCCTCCTCTTCTTAAAGGATACCTTTCAGCATTTCATATAATACTGGTTTGGTGGTGATGAACCCCTTTAGCTTTTCCTTATCTGTGAAGCTCTTTATCTGACCTTCAATTCTGAATGATGGCTTTTCTGGATAAAGTAATCTTGGTTGTAGGTTCTTGGCATTCATCACTTTGAATATTTCTTGCCACTCCCTTCTGGCCTGCAAAGTTTCTGTTGAGAAATCAGCTGACAGTCGTATGGGTATTCCCTTGTAGGTAACTGAGTTTCTTTCTCTTGCTGCTTTTAAGATTCTCTCTTTGTCTTTTGCTCTTGGCATTTTAATGATGATGTGTCTTGGTGTGGTCCTCTTTGGATTCCTTTTGTTTAGGGTTCTCTGCGCTTCCTGGACCTGTAAGTCTATTTCTTTCACCAGTAGGGGAAGTTTTCTGTCATTATTTCTTCAAATAGGTTTTCAATATCTTGCTCTCTCTCATCTTCTGGCACCCCTATAATTCTGATGTTGGTACGCTTGAAGCTGTCCCAGAGGCTCCTTACAGTATCTTTGTATTTTCGGATTCTTTTTTCATTTTGCTTTTCCAGTTGGGTGTTTTTTGCTTCTTCGCATTTCAAATCTTTGTCTTGATTCTTGCGCTCCTCTGCTGCTTTACCATTTGCACCCACTGCTGTTGGGTGTCTGTATAATATTCTTTATTTCAGTCAGTGTATGCTTAATTTCTAGTTGGTTCTTTATCACAACATTGAGGGTCTCATTAGATTTCTTTAGATCTCATTAAGTTTATCGGCAGTTTCTAGAAAATTATTGAAAGCCCTTAAAAGTGTGGTTTTGAGCTCTATATCCTCCAATTCTGACATTTGCATCCTGTTTCTTTGTCTCCGCATTTTTTATGCTTTCTTGGTGCAACCCCTAGCGGTCTTTGTGTGCAGTCTTGTTGTAGTTAAGCCTTTATTGTTGTAGGTAATACTGGAGGGGATTTGACCTCCAGGCCAACTGGCTGTGAGAATCAGCTGTGCCTGCAGTGAGAGAACTTCTGTCCTCTAGGGAGGTGCTAATCTAGTCTTTGCCTGAGGCTATCCGGCAAATGCCTCTGTGCAGGGCTTGGGTGGGGCGGGTCCCAGGGGATCTACAGGGCGGGCTGAGCAAGCAGTTATGGCTGCTCTCAGTCCTGTCCCCAGGGGTTCTGCCTCTCAGAGTCCCAGCAACCGCTGCACACCTCAGAGAGAAAGCTGCCTTCGAGTTCCGACCAAAGCCAGACAGTCCCGCTTCTCCCGTTTGAGTCTGGGTCCCTAGAGACTCACCCGGATCTGGAGCTCAGAGTCTGAGACTCCCTCACAATTGAAACAGACAACCGCACCCTCAGCCACCAGCCCGCTCCGCATGCAGTCCGCACCTTAGTATTTGAATTCAGCACTGCACCTCCTCTGAGTCTCAGTATGCTATTCTCTTTCCTCCTAGTTGTAGAACTTCCACTCAGCCAGCCTTCCTGTGGTTCTGGATGATGTCCGTTCCGTCTTTTAGTTGTATTTTTGAAGTGGTTGTTCGAGGCAGCAAACTCCGGCTTTAACCTATGCCGCCATCTTCCTTCATTTGGGTATTTTTGTAAATTAATCACTTTGGAAGAAAATTTCATGGATAAGTATATAATGAGTCCCTATTAGAACAAAGACAATATTTATACTTACATTTAAGGTAACTATGCATTTTTTCAGTCTTTTATTTAAAGTGCATATAACAGTTTGATCCATGGCCCAGCTGAATTGAGGTAATAGTGAAACATGTTCAAATGTGGCTCGTTAGTATGAGGTCAATACAATTTTAACTTACACAGAGGAACCAAATGTCACCGGCCTGAAGGCAGCAGGCTGTAACAAATGACAAAACCCCTTCTGGGCCTGTTTAATAGGTCCATAAAAATGATTGATGTCACTGGTAAAATGATAAAGTATAATGTAAACTGAACCTTGTAGTTCCCGTGTTCAACATTATTTACTGTGATGAAATGGAACAAGGAGTAATATCTCTCTCATCTGTCCATGGTAACTGCTCTGAGTTTGAAAGTGT